CGGGCATGTAGGAGGATTTGCACTTCTGAGCCATGGAAGCAGAAATTGACTTTTCCTTTCCAGATATAGCTAATATTCAGAAAGGGAATCTAGCACCTGCCTTCCAGATTTGAACACCCTCAAAATTCAGGAGTGCTCAAGCTCCATTTGGGCAGCTGTTATTTCATTTCTCCCAAATCAAATATACTGATCCACTGTAACTTGCTGTAGAAAAAGGAGGATAAAATTGAGCAAGCAATGCTTCCCAGTGATTTTTAGGACTGGAATTGCTATTTTCAACAGCCATTGCTTTTTTTTTTTTTAGTTTCATTTGTTTAAAAGGAAGACAGTGATTGCATTGGCAAATTCCCTACAGAAACAAAGAGTGGAACAAAAGAATAATAAAGGCACCTCAACTTCTCCTCATTTATGTAGAACAGTCTTATAATATGCATCCAGACATCCTCCAATCACACAAGCTGAAAATTGTTCCACTTTACTGCAGTTCTGTAACCATATGGGAACCAATCCTGTCTGTGTTCTGTGCACATCCAAAATTCCTGCTGAATGACCCGCCCTGGGAGCGAGTTACCAGTGACCCAGGGCTGGGACAGCAGGAGGGTGCAGGTTGGTGGGGGAGAGCCCAGGGCTCGGGCAGCAAGGAGCAGGGGGAGCCCAGGGCTGGGGTGGGGGGCAGCCAAAATTTTTTTTGCTTGGGGCGGCAAAAAACCTAGAGCCAGCCCTGGCTTCAGGTAAACTTGTTTCTTTACAGTTACAGCTCTCTGCTGCCGTTTTTTTTAATTCAGTGTATTTGGTTTTGAACAGAGAAGAGACAGTCTAGTGTGAATGGGGAGAAGATGAAGAGGGGAAGATAGAAGAGAGGAAAGGTGGAGGAGGATGAAGTAGCGTAACGGGAGAAGGAGAGAAGGGGGGGAGAAGGGAGCATAGTGGACAGGATGCAGCGGGGCGAAAAGAAGGGTGTACACTGCAGCATGGTAAGCAGGTGAATGGAGACACAGTCTGGGGGATGGCTATCGGGGGAGGGGCATGTCTCTCGATGGTGATGAGGTGGAGCACACATCTATTGGAAATACTACGGTCAATGGCGGGGTTAAGAATGAAAGGACAGAGCACGTGGGGCCTGATTCTTTGGGGCCAGGCAATTACATCAGTGCACCATGGGTGTAAATACTAGGAGGTCTTAATGGCAGGGGTTATAGCTATGTTGCACTGACATAAATAACTGCACAAGGTGCAGGGCTACAGTGAATGGGCCCCTTAATGCTGAGTCATTTCAGGTTTGGCTGAAAGTGAAGAAGTGGGATGTGCAGAAGGGTAAACAAGAGGTAACCAGCTGTACAGCTGGAGGCTGTGAGGACAAGGCTGCAGTATGCTTAGAGGGCGGCTGGTGCTTCCAAAGCACTTGGGAATTGTATAATCTGCATCTGAAAGGTTGCTGCTAGCAGTGAATCTGGGCAGCCTGCGTGGGAGGAAACCCCATATTGCCATCATGTGGCCTTGCTCCAGACTGGCCAAGAGAGGGCAGGAAAGTGAGGACCCGTCCCACAGGCCTGGCTCTATCTCCTGGAGCCTTGGGCTGCTGGAGAAGTGAAACAAACAGATCAAAATAAACAAGAGAAAAAAAAAACAGAAAATATTGATGGTGAAAAGAAGAAGAAAGTTGGAAGGAAGGGCCGGGGTAGGCAAAGAGGGATCAAAATGGTCTAGAAATAAAGTAGATTTTAAAAGATTTAAAAATTACAATAGATTTTAAAAGTGTCTGAGAGACAGTGAGGGAGTGCCCAGTCATTCTAGCGAGCCACCAGAATTGAAAGTGTAGGCCGGGGCCTGGCCATATTATAAACCGGAAAGAAAACCACATTCACCGAATGTTCCTCCATAGAGACTGCTTGATCAGCTGCTTTGAAGGAGGAGAGCTCACACAGGAGTCAGGGCTGTGCACTGCTGTTTATTACTCCTTTTTGCGGGATTTTCCTTTTTATTGCATTCAGTATTTCTTTGTTCCGTAAACTATAGATGACTGGATTAACTAAAGGAGTCAAGACAGCGTAAATCACAGCGAATGCCCTATCATAATCCAAGGAATAGCTTTTCTTTAATCGTACATACATAAATATAATACTCCCAAAAAATATAAGAACTACACTCAGGTGAGCGGCACAAGTGGAAAAGGCTTTTTTTCGCCCCTCAGCGGTACGTATTTTCAATATGGCTTTTATAATCTTTATGTACGAGACCATGATGAACAAAAATGTCACCAGGATTATAAATGCATTGACTATAAAATCAACCAGGACATTCATGGAGGTGTCTGTGCAGGCCAAGCTCAGCAGAGGGGGGAAGTCACAGAAGATATGCTGGATTTCATTGGGGCCACAGAAAGGCAATTTGGAGACCAAGATTACCTCAATGACAGGACACATGAAGCCACAAATCCAACAGCCAGCAGCCAACTGAGTGCACATTTTCGGGGTCATGATGGCAGGATAGCGCAGTGAATTACAGATAGCTAAATATCTGTCATAAGCCATTGCTGTCAGCAGGTAACATTCAGTGGCTCCTAGGGAATGGAAGAAATATGTTTGTAAGAGGCACCCAGTGAAGGAAATGCTTTTCCTCTTGCTGAGTAAATTTGAAAGCATTTTGGGGATACTAGTTGCTGTATACCAGATTTCCAAGAAAGATAAAATGCTGATAAAAAAGTACATGGGTGTATGAAGTCGAGCATCTGACCTGATGACTGTGAAAATCACCACATTCCCGAAAATGGCGAAGAGGTAGATGAGAAGCAGCAGGGTAAAGAGGAGAGTGTGGAAGCCCTGAAGGTTTGGGAATCCCACGATTATGAATTCGGTTACACTGCTCCAGTTGCTGGTTCCCATGCTGCCAATGGCTTAGCTTGCAAACACTTAGATATTCGAAGCTCCACCAAAATCAAAAGACCTCTCAGATGATGGATCAATAAAGTAAAATGCTGAAAGTAACCCAAAGAAACCATTAGTATATTTGGCTGACTCAGTCTGCGCCCATTAATGCCCCATCACCCTCCATTCCTCCTCACCCTTCACTTGCTTTTCTGTGACACTTCGCAATAAATGGAGCTTCATTGATAGATTCTAAGGTCAGAGGGACCATTGTGACCATCAAGTCTGACCTGGATAACACAGATCACAGAACTTCCCCACAGTAATAGAACCTCCCCCAAATTAGAACTTCAAAGTGACCTATAGAAACACCAACAGCAGCCATCACCCTGTTCCCACTTATCCCTCCATAAAGTCCCCCAAACTGAATCCCATCACTTCTCCCCAATCCTCACACCCAACACACCTTCCCCCTCCCTCCACAAACAGGGATCCTGTCACCCCTCCTCCACATCCACACACAGAGATCCCAGCAGCACCTCCCCCACCTCCACAAACAGGGATCACACCATCCTGCCCGGAGTTCACCCTCTTAACTCCCTGGGATGGATGAGGGGCTTAAACCCCACCTTTCTTCCTGGCATTTCCTATTTGCTAGATCACTGGGTCTCAACCTTTCCAGACTACTGTATCTCTTTCGGGAGTCTGATTTGTTTTGTGTACTCCCAAGTTTCACCAAGTAGTTGCTTACAAAATCAGACATAAAAATACAAAAGTGTCACAGCCCACTACTATTGAAAACGTAGTTTGTACTGACTTCGCTAGTGCTTTTTATATAGTCAGTTGTAAAACTAGGCAAATATCTAGCTGAGTTGATGTACCCTTGGAATACCTCTGCATATCCCCAGGGGTACACATACCCCTGGTTGAAAACCACTGGTTTAGATCAGGCCGGTCCCCACTCAGCATGCTGGCTTCTGTGAATCTCATCCTTAGGCACCTTGTCCTTCTTCAAGTTCCTTCTCAAAACTCACCTCTTCCCTAACGAATCCGTCAACCTGTGTCCTGAAAACGGATGGGCAGGTGGAGAGTTGTGATAACTCTCATCACTGTCTTTGAACCATGCACCTCCTATTAAATTTATCTCATGTCCCTACCCTCTTGTTTGTCTCATCCAAACAGATTGCAAGCTCTCTGGGGGGAGTGATAGCTCAGTGGTTTGTGTATTGGCCTACTAAACCCAGGGTTGTGAGTTCAATCCTTGAGGGGGCCATTTAGGGATCAGGGCAAAAATCTGTCTGGGGATTGGTCTCCCTTTGAGCAGGGGGTTGGACTAGATGACCTCCTGAAGTCCCTTCCAAGCCTGATATTCTATGATTCTAAGCATCCAAGTATTGTAGATTGTGAATGCTTTGGGGCAGGGACTGTCATGTAATACATACTTGCATAGTTACAACCTACATTTTTCAACTATAGCCAGCACATGGGTTTTCAAAGAGGGTTAACTATAGGGATAGTTCAGAGGTAATAATTAGCCATTCCTAGCTCAGGAATAGGGAAGGCAAAGGAACACTTAACAAAAGTCAAAATTTCAAATCACAGTATATTTTTTAGGCTTAGATTTTCCAAAGAGTTTAACATACAACTTCTATTTAGAAACCAGTCTTCAGCAGTGCTTGGAGTGCTGAACATTCATGCAAATCTGTCTGTTAGCGCCCTGCAACTCAAAAATGATTTGACCAATTTTTTTCAAACTCTTTTTCAGGCTGAACTCATTTTCAAAGCCAAAGTTACAGGGGGCTAAACTAGGCCTTGGCAATGAAAGTAGGGTGCACTCTTAACTAGAGAGGATAATATCTCTCCATAATAAGGTGTCTCAGACAGCTGCATTCTTTTAGGAAATTTCCCAAGTCCTTCTGTAATTCAATACAGTGTGGTGCTGTAAACATTGTCTCCCTTAGTCTGCAATAAACCTGTGTCACAGGGGTGCATGAGCTTTTCTGTGTACATGCTTCAGTAAAATAAAATCCTGATTGCCTAATATCCTAGAGCAAAACATGAATCATTCTGCATGCAACAAATCCCCAGAAACCTAGAAAATAAACTCACTTCTATACTTTCTCCTGAAGTCTTCAGTCTCAGGAAGTAGTCTTAGAAACACAGGATCAACATCCCTCAAGAGATAGCACTTCTAATTTATTAGAATTTACTTTTACCCAATATTTATTGCAGTGCATTCCAAAGATGTCAATAAAATTGCACATTTAAATATAGTTTTCATGGGTGTTACTTTTTACTTGCTTTGGAGAGATTTATTTATTAGAGGAAAAGGCTAAGATTATTCATAACCCAAAAAATGTGATGGCTTTATAGACGAATATTGGCCTAACATGCCATGTGTCTCCACCAAAGACTTGCCAGCCCTTCTCTCACTGGAAAGAGGAACTAGGGTAGCAAGATACTGCCATGTGCTGCACATATGCAGGTTATAGTTGGGCTGGGTGCTAAACTGGCAGTTTACCCTTGGCGCTGGAGTGTTGGGCATGTGCTGCATGAGAAAGAGACTGAAAGGGAATTTGTCTCTTTGATGAGAACTTCAATAGAAAAAGCAAGTCATGCTCATTGCTTGGGTACTAACCAGTGTAATGGCCACTTTTTCAGATCCCTCCTCTGGCTGTCCTGATGCAATGCTTCTCTGGTAGGAATGAGGAGCCCTTTCCTAGATTTATGCCCTGCCCCAGAAGAGAGAGTTTTGTTTACCTGGGCTTGTTTGCACATCTATCAGAGATCTAGAAGAAAATAAGCACTCCCTTGGCTCAATACCTGGGAGGAAATCACAGCAAAGCTCCCAGGAGCTCTCTATCCCAGGTGGATAAACACAACAACTGGAATCTTTGCATACAACATCCTCACATCTGAACAATTAGCCACAGTCATCTAATCCATTGTGCTCCTCTCAGCCTATGAAAGACAGTGCCATGCAATATTTTTCTGTAGTGTTTTGTCCAGTTTAAAGTGTCTCAAGGGATGGAAGTTCCCCCACTTCCCTTGGGAGATAATTCACAATTGAATATGTCTATGCTATGGATACCCCTTTTTGAACCGAGCAGCTAGTCAAAGTTTGGGGCCCTGGGGATGTTCCAGGTGGGAGTAGAAATTGACAATGCAGTCTGGTATTTTCTTTGTTTATTTACAGAATTATACAAAGCCTGCTCTCTAAACGCAGGAGGAACCAAAAACAGGGGATAGCTTCTTTGTTTAGAGTCCCACGTCTCTTTAACAACCAGCACCAGACCCAAAAGTGCTTGCTCTAGTTTCTTCCAGGGCCACACCATGTTTACAGGCTTCTGCGTGGATTTCTTCAAGCTGTCTCTGTCTCACTTTGGTATTCTGCTTTCAGTCACACACACACACAGAGCCCCTACCCAAAGTAATACACAGCAAAACCCCTCTGCACATACACTTGAAAATTCCTGGGCAGGTTCACAAAACCCTTGTGTTTTAGGTGAGGGTTTGCGATTAATTTATATTTACAATTTAAGTTCATTAAAGAATGTGTTCACACCAATCAATGTCAACAAGATTTTAACTCTCCCCATAACAAGGTTTAATCTAGCTCATAACACGATAAAAAATCTGTAAAGTCACAGTCCAATCACTGACTTGCCTGGGAGCTGCATGTCCATTTACTAAGATGATCAGATAGCAGGAATCTGAGAATATGATGAGTGAACTGTGGACTGAGGCTTCCTAGCGTACACCATCCTTCCTCTGCATGTCCACGATTGTGAGTGGGCCAGTTGAGTAACTGAGGCTAGAGCACTGTGGTCACTCACGAGAAGCAGAGGAAGCCTTTGCTGTCACCGCTGCAGCAGGATCTCTGATGAGATTTAGTTAATTAAATACTGCACATGGTGCCCTATGACAGGGAATCAGGGTGGAGGGAGCAGGGACACATAAGGTGGAATCAGGAGTTCAGAGGCTCATGCAGGATGGCAGAGGCGAGGATGTGTGCGTGTGTGTCAGAGTTACGTAGGGGATTCAGGGGTGCATGCATGCGGGGGGTCAGAGGTACATGAGTGGGGATGTGTCCCACAGGCACAGGGGGATTAGGGGAGCAGACAATAAGATGTGGCAGAGGCGTGGTGGGGGCACTGGAGAGGTCAGAGACAAATGAATAGGCCTGAGAGTCACCCAGAAGCAGTAATTTAAGGAGAATTGAGGACTTGTGCGGGGGGGGGAAAGGGGCCTCATTGGCAAAGTCCATGGCTCTCCAGTGGGAGGTGGGGCTGGGAGCCATGTTCCTGAAAAAGTTAGAAGTTCAGGTGGGTTGGCCGGGGATTTGGGGGAACCAGGCTGAATATAATGGGCTTTGGAGGGGTGATATTTCTAGCTTGGGAAAGAGGAGCTGGGCATCAGAATTGGGGAACCATTGTGGGAGAGCTGGCCCCATGGGGTCTAGGGCTGGGGAAGCAACTGGCCCAGGGAAAAGGGGCCCAAGATGAAGCAGAGAGTCAGGAGCCTGCAGTGTTTACTGGGAGGGATGGGACTTCCATCAAACACATGGAAACCCCACAATTCCCCTGGACTTTGCTGATAAACAATAGGGTCTATGGTGATGCTTGCCTTCCCTTCATGTAGCTTGGGGGTGGCTTAGAGGAGGCAACGGCTGACCTGTGATAGAATGAGTGTCCATAGTGAATATGTGTGACCCAGTATCTGCTAAAACTTGATGTGCCATGGAGCTAGCAGGACTACAGTCTCAGTCAAGGCAGCACTCATGGGAGCCTGCATTGGAGGAGCGCTTGGATCCACCGATTGGTCCAGCCAGGCTATTTAAGTCAGGAGAAGGAACATGAAGTTGTCTGAGTAAGCAGGTGAATCTCTGTTGCAGTGGACTGTGCTTGTGTCTGCTTCCCGCATTCTTCACCCAACTCTGGTCCCGATTCCTGCCTTGCCCCTGCCTTTGCTCATAGTTCCCACCATGCTCCTGTTCTGTGCCTGATCCTTGCCTCACC